CCCTGGGGCACGACCGGCCCCGCCGCCCCGCTCCTGGCCAAGGCCCATGTTCTCAGCGGCCGCATCTCGGGTCCCCTCGGGACAGCCGCGCCCTCGGTTCCCTCCGGCAGGGAGGGCGGGGCCCGAGCGCACTCCAGGGAGGGGCGGAGCCTGTTTCGGGCGGGGGCGGGGGGGGGACATTTACTGGAAATATTGTGCACAAACTGCATCCTGGTCCCACCAAGGGTGAGGTGTCCTCATCCCGTCTCTCCGTGGGGGACGCGGTCCTCCGTGAGGGTGGACATGGCCGTGAGGCTCAGGGTCGGGTCGGGAGTCAGGTGTCCTGTTCCTTCAGGTGGTGCCAAAGGGGACTCCAGATGTGAGATGTTTTTTTGTGTGCTGCTTATTTATATTACAAGCAAGCAGTTTCGGGGACTTTTGAGTCTACCTCTCCCAGGCGTCTGGAGGCACAGCATTCATTCCCATGGTAGAATTTTCACAGTCTGAAACTTACAGAGACGCGTCCTGAGAGCTCGGTGCCTGTGAGCACAGCCTTAGCAGGAAACAGGGTCCCTGCAGACGACCAGGTGGAAGTGGGGTCACCAGGGTGGGGCCTAACCCGGAGTGACTGGTACTTCTAAGATGAGATCCACTGGGGGCAGGGAAGCAGAGGAGGGTCGCCCCATCGGTCACAGGTGCCACGTTCCTGGATGAGACCAGCAAGCACAGACGTCACAGGGGTGAACTCCATAAAGTGACGAACTGCCGGGGCTGGCGCGAGCCCAGGAAACAGGCCTTTCACGCGGGTCGGCGAGGATGGGCTCATGGGGCTCATGCAATATTCACCGCCCGGGGCCGCCCATCACGGGGGAGCGGGCTCCGCATCCAGGTGCCTCGGCCCTGCGGTCCCGGGTGGGCTTCCGGGCAGAGACCGCGCGGCGCCGCCCACGTGTCCCTGGGAGCGGCCTCCCTCGGCTCTCGGTCCCATTAGGAGTCTCAGCCCAGGCGCGGCCCCACGTAAAAAGGGGCGGCCGCACCCTGCGGGCTCCTGGTCCCGCCTCAGCCTCCTCCAGGGCCGTGGTCAGGATTAGTCCCCGCCAGCCGGGGACACGGCCACCCGCGGGAGCCCCTGCACCCCTCTCCCAGGATTGCTCCCGGCTCCCCGGGGCGGCACGGGCTTCCAGGAGGCGAGAAGGCGGAAGGTAAGGCATCGGCGTCACCCTTCTGCGCTCGCTGTCCCCTGCCCGTCCCGCACGTCCTCCCTTCCTGTACGGGGACCCTCGCTCCCTGCTGCTCCCCAGCCTGAGGTGCTTGTTCTGAGGACCGATGGCCAAGACCATGGGCATCAGCCTCGGGGCGGAGCCGTCCTGTGGCCGAGGTGACGGCCGGGGTGGAGAGCTCCACGCGTTCCTGGAATGGAGACCTGGTTTTCGGTGGTTGGCTCACGACTGTAAAACCTGGAAGGATTAACTTAAGTAATTTTACACACAGACCCTACCTATCTGAGCAATTAAAAAAAAAACTCTTATCCTCACCCAAGGATATGTTAAAAATTTCTTTTAGGCGGGAGAGGAAGGGAGAGAGGAAGGGAGAGAAATGTCGACTGGCTGCCTCCCGTACGCGCCCGGACCCGGAACCGGGAACCGCCCACACGCAGACCAGGGATCGACCCACAGCCCAGGGGTGTGCCCCGACTGCGAAGCTTCCTTGCGGCGTTTCAGTTATGGGATGTCCCTCCAACAGGCGAGCCGCACCGGCCGGGGCCACACCCGCGTCTCCGCCGTGGCCCGATGCTGCGCCCCCGCCCCCCGGAACAGGCCGCGCCGGGGAGACGGCGCCGTCCCCTCCCTGTCGCTGGCTGTCCGTCCGCACACCCAGCTCTGCGCTGCGTGTCCTACACGCGTCAGGCTTCTCTTGTACTTAGAACATGCACAGGGATCCATATATGGGGAGATTATGCCTGGGGACAGAGAAAACGATACTTAGACACATTCCAAATGGATGACATCACCCTCAAGGGTCAAAAGTTGGTTTTGGAGGAGAGGGCAGCAAACGGCCTCTTTGCTCTGCATGGAGCACAAAATGCACGAAACACGGAAGCACACACAGCACATCTGTGCTATCACATGTCCAACGAGAGCAATTTGAAACAGCGGAGAAAGGCTTCCGGGGGGACCCCGCCCTACCCGCCGTCGCCACCGCCACCCTCGTCATCCCGGTTGGAAAGGGTCAGAACCGTGCGGAGACTTAATCCCAAGCGATCACGAGCACAGGGCGACCCTCTGCAAGCTCGACCCCTCCCAGGTTCCTGCAGGGTCACCCGGGCCATGACCGGTGGCTCCCCGCTGAGGACTTGGGCTGGGATGCCCCCCTGAAAGAGGTTCCAGGGGTCCCAGGACCACCTCTCGTTGTGGAGTCGCAGAGGTGGGTCTGGGCCACCACATCCTCTCACTCTGTCTGTCCCTGAGAGTCGCCGGCACCCACGTGGAGAAAGGGCATTTTCAGTGACGAGACCAGAGGCCGCGTTACTTGCTGCTTAACGAGCAGGCGTGTGCGGCCGCGGCTGCCGGCGGCGCCCCCCGGGGTCCCTTCCAGCCTCTCTTGCCTTCAGGCCCGTCCGCCTCTCCGAGGGGCTAACGGGGGGTCACGTGCCCGTGGATGACCTTTCAGGCGCAGGCGACGCTTCCACCGCGTCCAGTTCCCTGTCCCTGAGAGGGAGGACGGCTCCCCCGCCCCGGGCACCATCCCCGTCCTGGGTTGTCCCGGGTGCACCCCGGCGCGGGGGCAGCCCCCGGCCGGTCCCGCTGCAGGGAGCGTGGGGGCCGGCGGCCTCTGTGCTCAGGCCCTAGGGGACGGCAGGGCCATCCCCCAGGCACCCTAAACTCCCTCACGTGAAGCGCCATGTTCTGTCTTCCACGATCCTGTTCTGGAAGATGCAGCCCCCCGTGCTTCCTGTTCCTAAGGAAACGTCCCGCATGTTTGTGCAAGCTCCACCCAATAGAATCCGTTTTTGTCACATGACTGTGGCGGCCACCCAGTGGGGGTTACGATCAGGGGTCGTGAGGTCATCTGGCAAAAACAACGAGTCACGGGCTCGGGCACGTGGGTTGTTTACAGTCAGGCGATTCAGCCACGAGGACGTCAGCGCAGAGAGGGGATCCCGGGATGGCCCTGCGGGTCAGGCGTGGTGCCGTCTGCCTCCCCCAGACACCCTCTGTGGGGACTGCGGGCCCTGGGTCACTGCCCCTTGCTGACCATCACAGGCCGCGGGGTCGCGCCCGGCCTGGCCCCTGTCCCCGGAGCTGCAGGGACAGACGCTGGCGGCCCAGAGCCCGGGCTGCCCTGCAGAGCTTCGCTCACACGTGAGTCCCGCCGCGGCCGCGGCTGCGGAGCCACTTCCTGAGGGGGCCCCGCCACGGCCCTCGTGTCCTGGGCGTGAGGGCCCAGCGGTCCCGTCCCCGGGGGCGCGGGGCGCTGGGCCTGTCACCCTGCTCCCTGCGGCTCGTGTGGCCGGAGCTGCCCTCTGAGAGTCGGGCGCTGAGACTCTCTCTGCCCTGAGGCCTGTTCGGCGTCTGCCCCCTTTTCTGCTGGGTGTCCTGTCCCCGACCTTGGCCACCGGCAGGGGTTTTTCTCCCTGTACAGTCTCCCTGTCCTTGCAGATGGAGGTACCTGAATGTGTCCTTTGGTAAATGCGTTCACTATTATTATGTCCTCTGTGAGCTGCCTTTCCACCTCTTAGTGGCTTCTCTTACTGTCACGACCTTCCCCCTTTAATGAGGGCGCACTGACTGTCCCTACGCTCTAATCACACCACTCGGCCCCGCGTCCGAAGGCGGCTGACGGTGGCGCCCTGACTGGCGGGTCAGGCGGCTGCGCTCTCCCTCTAACGCGCAGCCCGGGACTCCTCTGCTCCCCGGAGATGCACCAGCCACGCCCATCCTCGCGTCTCCCGGCGCAGCACAGGGCGCAGAGGACCCTGCGGTCCGCGGGCACTGGCTGAGGCTCCCGGCCACCGGCCACTGGGCCGCAGTTCGTTCCCACGGGGGCTCCCCCGCTGAGCGCGGCCCTGCGCAGGGACGGGGCGTGGTGCGGGCGGGGACCCAGGAGCAGCCCCGCGGGGACCCAGGAGAGCAGGCGGAGCTGTCGGCTGGCAGCAGTGGTGGCAGGGGCAGCGGCGGTCAGGTGTCGTCCACGCCCCGCAGGTCGGTCCCGCACGACGTCCACCGAGACCTCACATGGATGACAGTGTCACCAGTAACAGTCAGGTGTCTGGACTCGGCAGGTGCAGCACATGACCGTCCTCAGCCTTGAAGAGACCAGCACGAGGTCTGCAGTCGAAGGGAACACATTACTGAGGGACAGCTGTCACGCCGTGGAGCTGGCACGTCTGAGGCTATGCCCGGAGGTGGCCGCAGGGGCCTTTAGATACAGGGCGCGACATCCAAGCGGCCATCTGAGCGGGAAAGGCGCACTCGGCGTCGCCGAGGTAGAGACGGTGTGGACGATCCTGGGCCGCGTCTGGAGGCCTGGCCGCTGTCACTGTGGGAGGCGGGCAATGGTGCAGACGCGGTGCAACAGGAACCCTGAGCGCGTTTAGAGAGGAGAGGAGGGGACCAGGGAGGTGGAGGGGAAAGGGAGAAAGCGATGTCCTGTAAGTGAAGTGAAGACTTTTATCGAGAGGGACACGTGACACCGCTCGGTCCTCCGCCCTCGTCCCAGGACGCGGCGTGTCGTTCCCACGGGTGTGCCGCGGGTGCCTGCTCCGTGGTCCGCGTCCCCGGAACAGCGCTCCGTGACCGCGAGGTGTGCCGGCCCCTCTCTCCCCGCCCCGTTGTTTGACACAGGCCTGTTCAATGAAAGGTCTCAAAACTTAATTTTAGAAAGAACACACAGCGCATGGAGGGAGGGAGGGAGGAGAAGTCTCCTCCTGCTTCTCTGCTCACAGGTCTTGTTTCTTTGAACCTTTTCTTCACAGAAAGTCCTTGCTCTGCGCCGGTCCTCGGAGCGCAGCCTTGGCCACCATGGACACCTCTTCCTCGTGTGTCTACTACAACGGCACTTTCACTTCAGAGGCAACCCGGGCTCTGAAGGTCATGTCTCCTCTGGGCGTCCTCATCTGCCTCGGGGGGCTGGTGGGCAACGGCCTCGTCCTCGGCCTCCTCGTGTTCTCGGTCAAGTGGGGGGGCTTCACCGTCTTCATCTTCCATTTGTCACTGGCTGACTTTCTCTACCTTTCTGGTCAGACAGTGTGGTTCATGCAAATCATATTGGATACCTTCCACGGCATCTGGTTTGACGTGGAGCACATATATATACTCACAGACACGTCCTACACGGCGGGGCTGTGCCTGCTGGCCGCCATCAGCGTCGGGCGCTGCCTGTCTGTCCTGTGTCCCATCTGGTGCCGGCTGCGCGCTCCCAGGCACGCGCCCGCCGCGCTGTGCTCCCTGGCCTGGGTCCTCTCCCTCTCAGTGAACGTGCACCTTTTCCTTGTCTGTTGGGGGAAGATGCCGAGGAACCATGAATTTTGTTGTGTGTATGAGGAGATCATTTTTGGTTTCTTCTGTGTTCTTCTCTCTGTCATGGTGCTGTGCGTTGTGATTGTGCCGTTCAAGGTCATGTGCAGCACCCAGCTCCGCCCTCCCCTCAAGTTTTATGTGTCTGCGCTTCTGACGGCCCTGTTCCTCCTGTGCGCCTTTCCCTACGGCATCCATCTGTACTACACTCATTATTCTGGCACGTTCCATTTGCCCCATCTTCTGCTGCTCTCCTGTGTGAACAGCAGCGCCAACCCCCTCGTCTATTACTTCGTAGGGAGAATCGGGGGGCGCAGGCAGGGGGGGAACTTCCGGCAGATTTTCCAGAAGACGCTGGGGGAGGAGACAGGTGTGAGAAGGGACACTTCCAGCGGGGCCGTCAGTAGTTCAGCGTGAGGAGCGAGGAGGGACGCAGTCAGCCTGTGAGGTGACCCGACTCCGCCCAGCAGGGCCCCTGCCCCTCCCCCTCCCAGCATGGGAACCGCCTGTCACTCCCCTGTGACCCCAGGCCTGGGCTCCTGCTCTCGGGTGAGCCTGTCCCCTGGGGGTGGTCCTGCGCTCCACTCTCCCATCCTTGGGTGCCGTCTTCTCTACACAGTAGGGGCCATGTCTCCCTGAACTATGACAAGAGGACAGGTCACCGATCCACAGGAGGCAATAGCATGAGCTCTAGACACAGGTGCTCGCGTGCTGCTTTGATACAATGACCCCCAGGACCTCGCATAAGGAACCCCGGCTCCGATCTGCGGCTGCGCACTGTGAACAAAGACTCTGACGGGGTCCTCGTCCCCTTTGTTAGGAGTGACGTCTGAGGTGACGGGGAAGGAGGAGGTGCCGCCTTTAAATGAGGACGTGCTGAGCGTTGGGGTCAGACACCAACTCCCCACCCCACATAGGTCCTGGTGGAGCCCATGCACGCGTGTCCTTAGTGTCAGTGTGGACATACGTGACTTTACAGTGGGCGGGGCCCTTGGAAAGGCCGGGCTTTGCGTGGGCTTTGGGAACAACACACAACCCGCTTTTCCTGGAATGTCCTATAAAGTTGTCTCATGGGGTGACTTCATCCTCTTCTTAAATGTCCGACACAGCTGTGTGTCCAGGTGGGTGGTCCAGAGGGGGAGGGGAGAACGTCTGCCGTGTTACATCTGGAAACGTCTGCGTGTAAAGCCTCTCTACATAATGCGACCGATATTCCCTTGTCTGGCTTCTTGGAACCCATTTCTGAAATAAACTCTGGAAATGATCGCCCTTCACAGCCGCGCTCTGCCATCCCTGCGCCGTCGGCTTTGGCCCGGACCTGCCGCATCAGGCCAGGGAGGCGGCGCGGAGGGCGGGTCTGCAGCCGGGAGAGCCGGCGCTCAGGGAGGCCGCGGGAATTCAGGGCCCACGAAGGACCTTCATCACAGGAGGCCCTCAGGGACATGCACACGCGTCACGAGTGCCCATCCCAGGAGCACGTGTCCTCTCCGTGTGCTCCGTGTGGCGCCTCCCTGTGCGAGTCTGCGAGAAACCCCACGGCCGGGCCTCGCGGTCAGACCCTCAGGGGCCCCGTCCCGGAGGCCGGAGCCCGCAATCCGGTGTCACAGGGCTGCTTCCTCCTGGGAACTCCCTCCTGGGCTGCAGACGGCCGTCCCCTCCCTGCGTCCCCACACGGTCGTCCCTCTGTGTGTGTGTCCTGATCTCTTCTTAGAAGGGCCCGTCACACCGGATGAGGCCCCACTGGGGTGACCCCACTTCCACCTGGTCGTCTGCAGGGACCCTGTTTCCTAATCAGGTTGTGCTCATGGTACTGAGCTCTGAGGACACGTCTTAGTAAATTTCATATTGTGAAAATGTCACTCAGTAATCTACGGTGGGAATGAATGTCGTGCATCCAGAAAACTGTGATACGTGGATCCAAAAGTCCCCAAGAATGCCTGCTTGAAACAGAAATAGGCAGCAGGCAGGAAACATCTCACATCAGAGAGTCCCCCTTGGAGCCACCTGAAGGAACAGGACACCTGACTCCCGACCCGACCCTGAGCCTCACAGCCATGTCCACCCTCACGGAGGGCCGCGTCCCCCACGCAGAGACGGGGCGAGGACACCTCACCCTCGGGGGGCCCAGGACGCACTTTGTGTGCAACATTTCCAGGAAACATCCCCCGGCTTGGAACAGGCCCCGCCCACCCCTGGCCGGAGGGCAGCGAGGGCAACGCTGTCCCGTTGGGTCCCGTGATGCGGCCGCTGAGAACGCGGGCCTTGGCCAGGAGCCGGGCAGCGGTGCCGGCCGTGCCCCAGGGCCCCGGGTCCCTCCCCGGAGACGGAGGCTGTGGAGGGGCGGAGGCCTCTTCTCCTCCCCGTTGTCTGCGTCCCCCCTGCACAGACAGACGCAGCCCTGGGCTCCCACACCTGCTCTAGGGGCTCGGCCTCTCCGGACCGGTGGAAAGAACGTTTGATCCCCCGATGCAGGGGAGCCCTTATAGAGGCCAGGGACTTCGACCACGTAGCCTGTCTGTACCCATTGGGACAGGTGTGGCCCTTAATGGAGCCCTCCCCCTCTCCCCAGGGTCCCGTCAGGTGTGTCTCACAAGCTCGTGTAGGCGACCCAGCCCCAGGTGTGTCAGCATGTGCCTTCCTAGGTGGCTGCTGCTACCTGAGGACTTCTTAAGACCCAGCAGCTTCAGAGAATGTGTCGATCATATGAAAAGCTCAGCTCGTGTGCAGCTGTGTGTCAACAGTGAGCCCCACACGGTCCGTCCGTGGCAGTGGGAGGCAGGAGGCGGCGTGGACAGAGGGCGCAGCACACCGGGGCCGCTGGGGCTGGAAACATGTCCGCCCGCAGCCCTGAGCCTCAATGACAAAGCTGCTGGTGTCTGAGCGTGTGCGCCTACAGGGGCGGCCGTTTCACATGGTTTGACCGGGCAGCCGGCCCGGCACTGGCACCTGGTGGCGTCTGGAGCGATGAAGATGGTATCTGTCGTCATGACAGACCTCAGGGCCCAACTTCCCAGTCGCTGTCCTCAGCCAGGCCAGGGGCACGGCACAGCCACGGCTCCCCACAGGCGGAGGGGATGCCACCCCTCCTCTGGGGCCACAGGGGCGGCCGGCAGAACTGACGTGGGGAGACCGGTGAACGTCGGGGTGGCGGGTGCAGGCCCTCCGTGGAGGGAGGCGAAGCGCCGCCCTGAACATCGGAGCCACTCACAGGCTCCCTGGCAAGGCAGGTGGGGCTGCTCGGGCCGGAGGGGAAGGGGGGCGAGGGTCATCGGGTTCCAGAGCAGCGCCGACCTGTCGGGTCTGAGGAGGGGCGCGGCGGGGGCAGCGGCGTAGGGCCCCGGACCCCCAGGGACAGCGGTGGGCCGCTCTGGGCGCCCTCGTCCGCACGCACGGGCCCACAGCGACCCTGGGGGGCGTCGCTGCCGCATCCGTGGCCACCTCAGGTGCATTTCCCTGGCCTCGTCCGACTCCCTGTTCTCACTTTTACGGTAAAACATATTTACATTTTAAAAAAAGGTTTTATTTATTTTTAGAACGGAAGAGAGAGAAAGAGGAAGAGAAACGTCAACATGTGGTTGCCTCTCGCGCGCCCCCTCCTGGGGACCTGGCCCTCAACCCCGGCCTGTGCCCTGACTGGGAATTGAACCTGCGACCCTGTGCTTCACAGTCTAGCACTCAATCCGCTGAGCCACACCAGCCGGGGCCAGCTTCCCATTTCTAAACACCCATACTTCTCCCAGTTGGCAGTTTCGCCTGGTCTGGTGTCATTGTTGCGGGGTGCAGGCCCTCGGGTGGACGATGACCAGGAAACAAGGCGGGGGGACGAGCCAGGGAAGAGGAAGGGGGCAGTGACGAGAGTCCTGGGCGAGGGCAGAGGAAGAAGAGGAGGAAAGGCCACTTTGCAGAACGATGACAGCCCCCTGCCCCGCCTCGTCCGGCCCACCGAGGCCGCATGGTCTTGGGCATGTGGACGGAGAGGCCGGGGAAGGCGCTCACTTCAACAGCGCGTTACAAATCACATTCTCCTGATTCCAACCTCTTTCTTTAAGGAACTAGGCTTCAAAGATCCCTCCCCGCTGACCCATGAAACAAGACTTGCTGGGGCTCTGCCTGCTCAGGGCAGGGGGAGGCTGAGCTCGCTCAGGGTCCCGGCGAGGCCGACGTCGCCCGCGGGACCCCGGCAGGCGGGGCCTGCGCCCGGGCCGATATCAGTCCGCGCTGTCCAGAGGCTGCCGCTCCCTCCTCTCCAGCTGCAGCACCTGGAGGGAGGCGCCGCGTGAGCACACTGCGCCCCGGGCCGACTCTAGCTACCACGCTGCTGGATACGTGCCGAGTCGCGCCGGGAGCACGCCGCAGCCTGCACCCGAGAAGCCAGGTGACCCAATGGCACATCCCGGGCCCTGGGTGCGGTCTGATACAGACGTGCGCCCGGGTAAGTCTGCACGGACGGCCACCGCCCCACACGGCGCCTGCGGGACTGCAGGTGACGCTGCCTGGCCCTGGCGCGACCCCTCCGGTGTGTGCGCATCTGTCCCGCTCTGGGTGCACAGCCTCCAAACCCCGATCCTGATCTGGGGGGGCCCAGCCCCACCTCTCGCTGACTCCTTGGAGCGGGCAGGGCCGCGGAGCGCGGTGCCACCTGGTGCCAGCCTCAGCTCACACCGCACCCCCTCGGACGCCTCCCCGTCACCAGGTGTCCCATGGGCTCCGGCAGCGCCCGCGTCCTCCTGCTCAGGAGTGTGCTCCACCGTTCATCGCGTTCAGTGCCTGGGCCCGCCGTCAGCCGTCCTCCTTCCCCCATCGGATATATCTCTCTCTCTCTCTCTCTCTCTCTCTCTCTCTCTCACACACACACACACACACACACACACACACACGGCGGGGGGAGGGGCCTAAGTCTGCTTGCTGTCCCTCGGGGAAGAGGGAAGGAAGACCGTGGAATCCCTGCTGCTTCTGTTGATTTCATCAGCCCTCCCTTGGTTCTACTATTAACAAATTAGAGAGGAAAGGACACAGGCGGTTTGGATGCTGAGAAGCCGTCCGCCTCAGCCCACGGCCCAGAAACGGCTGTGATGGGCAGCAGTCACACTGTGACGTGCGGCCTCTCGTTGGGGACACACCACACCCGGAACTGCCGTGCAGCCCAGAGTGGCCCACGCCCATCCCTGACTGTAAACACACCTGGCAGAAACCAGGGTGGCTGGGCAGGCCCCGCGTCTGTCGGCGAAGCCCCCCGGCCCCCGAGGGCGCCGAGCACAGCGTGGCCTGGCCGCCCCGCCCGGCTCACCTGGTTCTCTATGCACCGGAACTGCCAGGGCCAGCCGGCGCGGTAGAGAAACGGCCGCAGGTCGAACCTGTTGTCGTCGGGGCTGTAGCTCTCCGCGTGGTACGCAGGCGTGAGCGTGGTCATCTTGTGT